TGTGTTGTGTCTCCAGGCAACGGTGAGGCGTCCCCGCCGCCCCAGCTCTGCAGAAGGGAGTCTCGGTGTCTTGGAGCCGTGTTCTCTGGAGGCTCCGGGCACGATGCTTCCTGCTCCTTCCAGTTCCCGTGGCCGGACCCCCCGGGGCGGGTGGGTCACTCCAATCTCCGTGTTCACGCGGCCTCGTTCCCTCGGTGTGTGTTGTAGTCCCTGGCTTTACGAAGCCGTCATTGTGTCTGGGCCGCCCTCAATCCAGGATGACCTGATCTCAAGGCCCTCCTCTTAATCCCATCTGCGGAGACCCTAGTTCCAAAGAGGTCCCGTTCTGAGATTCCGGGTGGCCGTGAATTTAGGGAGACAGCCTTCCGCCCAGTGTGTCCCCACTGTCCTGGGGTCAAGGCCCACCCTCAGACCCTCCCCGGGGGGCTGACACCCAGTGAGGGGACAGACAACAGGAACAGCCGGCCTGGCCACGCCTGCCCCAGAGGCACCGTGGACAGTGGATGGGGAGACCCCTGGGGGTGGTGACAGTGACCAAGTAGGGGATGCCCCTGGGCCCGGGGTGGGTTGGCTGAGGCACCCCTGAGGACGGCCCCTGACTTATGGGCTGTACCGTCCACCTCCACCAGACAGGGCTGTGAGAGGGCAGGGCAGGCAGACGGGCCGGGGCAGCAGCCCGCAGCTGTGTGGCTCACAATAGGGCCGGCCCTGGCGGGGACACAGGCCCTGATCTGGCTAATGGTGCCACGTATCTTTTGCATGGGGGAGAATTGTGAGTGTGGACGTCGTGGGGGAGATGAGGCCACCTGATGGAGAGCCTGCAGCCCACCCTTTAAAGGAACAAGGCATTTTTTTCACCCTTTTTTTCCGTGAGGCTCAGACAGCTGACTCCTTAAATATTAATCAGGGTCATTGAGATGCAAATGTGTGCCCACCACAGAAGGCCCCGCAGCTGCAGGGCTGGCACCGAACGTCCTGGCGGCCCAGATGCAGCCCTGACCAGAGCGGCGGCAAAGACCACCTTCCCTGAGGACAAACGGGCGCCTGCCCCTCGACAGGAGCAAGGGCGGCGTGGGCCTCGCTGGGTCTCGTTGGCTTTGGCCATGGCTTTCCTGGCTTTCACTGCCCTTAAAACAAGGTGTCCTGGATAGGCAGGCGCCGGGGACCCCCAGCTCCTCTCGAAGCCATGAGGCTGGGGGAGGGCGCCGCGTGTCTGGCCTGTGGTGGGTTCAGAGGCTGAGTTTAGAAAAGTCTGGTCTGGGGGCTGGGCGCGGTGGCTCATGCCTGTAATCCCAGCACTTTGGGAGGCCGAGGTGGGTGGATCAGGAGGTTAGGAGATCGAGACCATCCTGACCAACACAGTGAAACCCCATCTCTGCTAAAAATACAAAAAAATTAGCCGGGCGAGGTGGCGGGTGCCTGTAGTCCCAGCTGCCCGGGAGGCTGAGGCAGGAGAATGGCATGAACCTGGGAGGCGGAGCTTGCAGTGAGCCGAGATCCGGCCACTGCACTCCAGCCTGGGCGACAGAGCGAGACTCCGTCTCAAAAAAAAAAAAAAAAAAAAGGGGGCGGGCGGGGTTACAGCTGTGGCTGCTCCTGCAGGGCGGGGCTCCCGCAGACAGACAACGGCTCAGGGCAGCTCTGCCGAGCCTCATTGACAGCCACTTTTTTTTTTTTTTTTTTTTAAAGATAGAATCTTACTCTATCGGCCAGGCTGGAGTGCAGTGGTGTGGTCTCAACTCACTGCAACCTCTGCCTCCCGGGTTCAAGCGATTCTCCTGCCTCAGCCTCCCGAGTGGCTGGGATTACAGGTGCCCGCCACACCAGGCTAATTTTGTATTTTTGGTAGAGATGGGGTTTCACCATGTTGGCCAGGCTGGTCTCGAACTCCTGACCTCAGGTGATGCACCCGCCTCGGCCTCCCAAAGTGCTGGGATTTACAGGCGTGAGCCACCGCACCCGGCCAGAAATGTCAAATTTTGATGAAGTCCAATTTATTTTCTGTTTTGTTGTCGGTGCTGTTGGTGTCCTAGCCAAGAAATCACTGCCAAATCCAATGTCATAAAGATTTTCCCCGGTTTTATTCTGAGTCTTACAGTTTTAGGTCCTACGTTTCGGTGTTTCATCCTGTTTTTTGGGTTAAGTTTTGTGTATGCTGTTAGGTAAGGGGCCAGCTTCATTCATTATTTTGCATGTGGAGATAACGCTTTCCCAGCACCATTTGCTGAAAAGACCATCGTCTTCCCATTGAATGGTCTCGAAGCCCGTGCACGTGGGGCGATTTCTCGTCGGAAGGTACCTGGCCGTGCGTGTGGGGCGATTTCTCGGGTCGTTCTCGTCGGAAGGTACCTGGCCGCGTGTGGGGCGATTTCTTGGGTTGTTGTCGTTGGAAGGTATGTGGCCACACGCGTGGGACAATTTCTCAGGTGGTTACTGTGCCCCGCCCTTCTCTAGGTCTCTGTGCTGCTGCCACACTATTTTGACAAGGGAGCTTTTTTTTCTGCCACCGTGGGCCAGCTGCCACCGTCTGTGGTATTCTTGTGCGTTGCTGATCTAAAGCTCCAAAGCCTCCGTTCTCCCAAACCTTCCTGCCCAGATGAGGACCTGGGCAGCCTGAGACCTCCAAGCTGCAGTGAGAATGGCTGAGAGTCTGAGCCAGCCAGGGAGGCTGTTCCGGGGACTCCAGGGTGCATCTCCCTTCCCCCGGGCCCATGGTTGACCCAGCAAACCCACACTGAGGGCCTGGCGCAGGACGAGGGGCCGCTTGGTGTCAGAGCACAGAGCAAGCTCTGGCGAGCCAGGGGGTTGCCTTGTGGTGCCGGCAGTGGTTGCTAGTGCAAAGGCCCCACGGCCCTGACCACACAGGGACCCCAGACATTTGGGGGAGATGGGCTCAGTGCGGTGAGACCTTGGGACCATCTGCCAAGGACTGATGGGGTGAGGGGAACCCAGCCTCGGAAGGGTCAGGTGTGATGGGCTCTGGGTCTGCAGAGGGTGCAGGCTCCATCCCAGCCAAGGCTGTCACAACCTGACCTCAGGTCAGCTGTCGGCCCCGGGTGAGTGGACGTCTCTGGGACTCTGGATCCGGAGACTGGACCCCCACCATTAGGGCCCCTCTGCCTGCCAGGTGAGGGGGTCTCCCTGAGCAGGGCTGGACACTCACAGGTCGGAGCCAAGGGCTCCATGGAGTGGGTCCCCGAGGCCCCCAGACCTTGGTGGGGTACTCGGGGGTTAGCAGACCTGCCCTCCACAGTGACAAGCCCCCGAGGCTGGCTGAAAGGGGGCGGGCAGATCACACCATGGCCCCCACTGCTGAGCACCCTTTCAGATGCCAGGCCTCCGCCCCCAGGGTCCCAGGGGACTTCCTGACCACAGGCATCCGTCTGACCTGTGTGGGGGCCGCTGGCCTCACTGCCCCGCACCGGCAGGCAGGACCCTCCGTCACACAGAACACAGGCGGGGGGTGGGGGCGGGGCGTCTCGCACAGGCTCTGTGGAGAGAGTTCAGACACGGGAAGAAGCCGACAAGCCCGATGGGAGGGCTGAGGGCCACGATTCTGTTTATATGAAGCGTCCTGAACAGGGAGAGCCACAGAGGCGTGAGATGGATTCCCTGGGGCTGAGGGCTCTGTCTGGAAGATGGAAACGGGACGGATGGAGTGGGTGGTGGATGCACAGCCTCGGGAGCGCACTCCACACCACAAACGACTCGCTTAACAACGGCCACTGGTCCGCTTCATACTGTGTGACTTGGCCCCACATGCCCTGTGACCCTGCCGCCAGGTCCCCTGGGAAGTCACAGCTGCCATCCCCGATGGAGGATAGGGTGCCTGCTCCAGGGCTCTTGCAGGCCCTTCCCGTGGTCCCAGGACGGTGCTGCGGCGCCTCTGGCCTGTGGGTCCCGTGAACGGGCTGCCCAGTCACTCCTGCCATGGGCTCCTGCCCTGCCCTTTTGCCCAGGACCTGCAGCCCCACCGCGGGGTACCCGGGAGACCAGTGGTGCACACCTGCCCTGGGACAAGAGGAGCCTGGAGCGGGGTGGAGGAGCCTGGGAGGAGGGGCTGTGGGATTCGGGACCCACCATGGGGAGGGCGGCCGCACGGGAGGGTTCCGGGCAGGGGGCACGGAGGGCTGCTGGCTCCTCTGGCCTCCCCCTTGCAGAGGCTGGGCAGGGGCACCCCTTGGCACCAGCCTTTCCCGGGTGATGGGTCCCTCGGGTCCCCACAACTCCTGCCACTGCCCCAGATGCCTGCCTCTGAGCTGTGCCACAGGGCTGAGCCCCACCAACAGCAGAGCCCCTGGGACAGCCCCCCAGGAAGGGCCGCCCAGGCCCCTGTGGCCGACAGCTCCGCGTGGTTGCTCCAGTAGACTGGCTGGCTCCTAGCGCGTCCCTCTGAGGCCCCGTCTGTCCCTCCACAGACACAGGGCGCCCTGTTTCCCCGGGAGCTGGAACACGGGCCCTCTGTTCGCACCTGGGCTGGCCGCCCCCCCGGCCAGGCTGAGGGGGGGCTCCACACAGACCCGCACTGTGCCCACCGCAGCCGGCCTCCTCTGTCTCAACCACCGTGTTTTCCCCACCGGGGCCCCCCACAGTGGCTCAGCCGTGGGCATCACGGCTCCAGGCGCCGTGGATGGAGACGGGGAAGGGGTGGGTGGCTGCCCCCCAGGCTTGGGGAGAGGGGAGGGCCTCTGTCCTGCGGTGGGACCCACTTCTGACTTCTCCCGGGACCCAGCCTCACAGCGTCCTGGGTGGGGGAGACGGTGCCCCAGAGCTTTGCCTCCTTCCAGCAAGGCCAGCACCCCCGCTCGTTCCCATTTAACTCCAAGTATTCCCGCACCCAGCAGGCACTGGAAGGGTCGCCAGGCAAAGCACCACCTGTTCACCTTTCCACCCCCAAAGCCTGAGTCCCACTCGGTCACCCGCTGCCCCAGCACCACAGTGTGGGCTGGGGGCACGGCCACTGCCAAAGGGAGGGAGGTACAAGAACTTCATTTAAGCAGTTTGTTTTTGAGTCAGCTGGTAAATGATATAATAGGAAGAGTAGAAAAATATGTAATAGATATGGCATAAGAATAGGAATAATAGGAAAACGTGCAGTAGACGGTTTGTCTGACGATGATGAGTGTGCGCGTCCGGCGGTCCTGTGGTTGAGGGGCCGTGTCAAGGCCTCGGAGGCAGCGCGGTCACAGCCTGGAGGGTGGCGCTGGGCGTGTGGTGTGTCCGTCTGCACCTCACAGACACCAGTCACTGGGGGATGAAACCGGGCCCAGAACACACGTGTGCACGGGCTGTGTGTGCCCTTGTGTGTGCCTGCATGTGTGGGATGCGTGTAGGCTGTGGCAGGGGTGGGGATGAGGGACAGCACAGAAAATGGCCCGTCCAACCCCACATCCAGGCTGGGCACGTCCAGGTCCCTGGGGGGCAAGGGCTCGGCTGCCTCAGACGTGACGGGGACTCAGCTCTGAGGGTCAGGACCTGGCTGGGAACACACCATTGAGGGGGGAACAGAAACCAGCTGCTGGGGCGCTGGGGACCCTGAGAGCTCCCTGGCTGGACCTGTGGTCAGGGCTATAGTGGAGGAAGGTGTCAGGATGGCCATCATCTCAACTCCTGTGGGCGGCACAGCCCCAGGCTGGGCCTCTGGGAGGAGGGAGGGAGGGACAGACGGGAGATCAGAGCCCCGAGAAGGCTGGTGCCTGGGACAAGGGTTGGCCAGGATGTGGGGCGCCAGGCGGGCAGGGCCAGGGAGCCGCCACAGTGTGTGACAGCAGACCCCACCCAGGACCCCTGTGCTGGGCGCTGGCTCCCACTGCTCTTCTCTCCACGTCTCTCTTGGCGGTGCCGAGTTCGGGCTGGGCGCAGGGAAGGGCCAACGTTGCTGAGCCGCCAGGGGCTGGGTCTTTGCCTTTATTTCTGGTGCACATCTAGAGGGGCTGGGGCAGAGGCCACCCACGGTCCCTGAAGTAGGGCCTCAGCTCCTCCAGGCTGAGAGGAGGAAAGTAGGCTCCGATCCTCTTCCGCACCCACCACTTGCCCTCGGCGGCGTGCCTGCCCCCAGGACGGCTGAACTTGTACCTGTAGTGCTCTCCGCGGACCCACCTGCAAGGGGGCATGTGTCAGCCTAGGGCCTGCTGGGACTCCCGGCCCCCGACCCGGCTCCTCGGCCTGCTGCTCAGCTGCAGCTGCTCACAGGGGTCCTCCACGGACAGAGCGGCTGCATGAGGAGCCCCCACCCCGAGCACAGGCAGACCCCCAGCAGACCCCAGGCAGGGCGACTGTTCCAGTCCGCACCTCAGCAGGGACAGTGCAGCCAGGGGGAAGGGCGGACGTGGGCAGCTCCGGGAGAGGTGACCCAGCAGAGCCCACACGGCAGAGCGACCGGCCCAGGGAAGGCCAGGGGCTTCAAGGGTGGCACTGGGCAGGCCCAAGGAAGTTCCCAAGGCCCCAGGTTGAGCCCCACGTGCCCCCGACCTGGGAAGGCACGGAGAGGAACCTGCTGCTCACGGCGTGGCATCTCCACCATCAGGCCAGCCCTGCCGCAAGGTGCCTGGGGGTTTCGGTCCACAGGGCAGCCCGAGGCTGTGAGGGAGCCAGGCTGGGACCTGTTTCCTGAGGGCGCAGCCTCTGTTTCCCAGGGCTTCAGGCCCTTTCCTGCCTGAGATGTGGAGATGCTGGCTGCCTGCTCTCCTCGGACAGGCCCGAGTGGGATGAAGGCCCCCTCCCCCATCTCCTCTGGACCGCGGCAGCGGGCAGGTCTCTCCGCTGAGCTCTGTATAAGGTCCTGCCTGACCATGGTGACCGGGCCTGGGTTAAGCCACGCTGGGTCTTGGTTCCCGGCTGGCAAGCCCTCACTAGACTCTCGGAGGACTGGGCATTTTCTCCTGGGGGTGAGACGAAGCCCCTCGTGTCCAGGGTTGCTCGGCTGCCCCGGAGGAGAAGGCGCCAGACGGCGTTGTGGCCATCGCCAGCTCCCGGCCTCCAGGCCCCTTCCCAGTTGTGCAGCAGGAGTGGAAGCTTCTCAGCCCGCAGGGCGGCTGCTGCCTGGCTGGGATCCACGGCAGAGCTGGGCCCCAGCTGCCTGGTGAGTGTGAGGGTGCAGCCGTAACAGGACCCTCTGGTGGCCCCTGGAATGAGCCCAGGCAAGTGCTGGCGGCTTCACACTGCACCAGGGCCTGGTGCCGGCTCTCTGGGTGCTGTCATGATTCGGGGCTTCTGGTGACCTGCACACAGCTGTGCCCCGGGGCTCCGGGTGGAGACCTTGGGCTGGCGGGATGAGGCCTCTGGGTCCACCCTGCTCCTCCCTGCTTTGGGTCTGCGTGGGTCTGGGGTGTGCTGGACGATGGTTCCTCTCCCCCCAGGTCTGAACTGCCCCAGGAAAACCGGGAAGGCAGAGACCCTCTGGGTGGAGGAGGGTCCCGGAGGCGTCTGGTGGGAGAGAGGGATCAGTGGCTCCAAGAGGAGTGGGGTCGGGCCTTTGGAAAACCTCCCGGGCAGCCAAGACTGAGGGCGATGCTGGCAGCTGCTGGCTCCTGTCTACTCCAGGAGGGCACTGCCCACTGCCCACTGCCCTGGGCCCCAGGGGTCTTTCCTGGACCCCCTGGGCCTCAGGCCGCCATGGTTGTTCTCGGCTATATGGACGGCAGTGGCCAGCATGGGGACTGAGCCAGGTGGTGCCAGGCAGAGGTCACACTGGACCCCGAGACGGACCTCTGAGCAGCTCAGCAGCAGCTGAAGGGACAGGCTGGGGTGCGGCCGTGAGGGCGCTGGGCTGTGCTGGCAGCATGGTCCCCGCACACTCTCCTAGGCCTTGCTGGGGCAATGCAGACCCCACGCAGCCCACCCTCTCCCAAACCCTGCATTTAGCGAGGCTGGGAGGGCGGGGGTCCCGGGAGGGCCTCTGCAGTGGGATCGCCCATCTTTCCCAAATTCCTGCTCTTGCTTTCTGCTCCTTTCCAGGACAGGGTCAAAGCCTGGGGGCCCAGGCCCTGGTCTCTGACGTCCAGAGCTGGAACTGCAGTTTGGAAGGGATTTGGAAAGGGTCAGAAGCCTCTGTGCCAACTGGCAGGCTGGTGGGAAGGGGCCCCAGGCCTCCAGCGGCCTGAAGATTGCATTTCATTCCTGCAAAGTACCCGAGAAGGCCATGGCACCACCCACAGAAGGCTTGAGTGTTTAAAATAGGGGAGCTCCCAGCCGTTTTGAACAGACCCTACTGGCAACAGCTTGGCACAGCTATAGTAGGGATCCCAGCCAGGGCCTGACACTGAGACTACAGACATGGGCCCCGTCCACGCCCGGACCCCCGTGTCCTTCCGCACCCACCCCCGCCCTGCGGCCTCCTTGTATGAGTTCAAGAATGTGGTAGGAGTGGAACGCTGTGGCATGTACCCGCGGGGCAGGCGGTTCTCATTCGTGCCAGCCCTCTGGTTCTGCCAGGTTGCGTGATGGAGGCTTCCTTCCTCCTTGTCACTGACCAGCGTCTGTGGCGTGAGCACACCCTGGTTTGTGCGGTTGCTCTCCTGTGGAAGGACAGCTGAGCTTGTTGCAGTTTTTGTCTATTACAGCTGCCGTAAACCTCTGCAGGGGTTTCTGCCTGAACCTGGATTTCAACTCTCCGGTTTAAACATCCGTGGAAGCAACTGCTGAGTCCACGGCAATTTCAGGTTTCGTTTTTGAGGAGCCACTTTACCCTCCCAGCAACAGCCGAGTGACCAGATTTCTCGGCGTCTTTGCCGGCATGTGGGGTTGTTGCTACTTTTATTCCAGCCGTTCTGATGGGTGTGCAGTGACGTCACGGGACGGGTGTGAGCAGTGTCACGGGACGGGTGTGAGCGACGTGTCACGGGACGGGTGTGAGCAGTGTCACGGGACGGGTGTGAGCGACGTGTCACGGGACGGGTGTGAGCGACCTGTCACGGGACGGGTGTGAGCGACGTGTCGCGGGACGGGTGTGAGCGACGTGTCGCGGGACGGGTGTGAGCGACCTGTCGCGGGACGGGTGTGAGCGGTGTCACGGGACGGGTGTGAGCGACGTGTCGCGGGACGGGTGTGAGTGACGTGTCGCGGGACGGGTGTGAGCGGTGTCGCGGGACGGGTGTGAGCGACGTGTCGCGGGATGGGTGTGAGTGGTGTCGCGGGACGAGTGTGAGTGACATGTCGCGGGACGGGTGTGAGCGGCGTCACGGGACAGGTGTGAGCGGTGTCACGGGACGGGTGTGAGTGACATGTCGCGGGACGGGTGTGAGCGGTGTCGCGGGATGGGTGTGAGTGACATGTCGCGGGACGGGTGTGAGCGGTGTCGCGGGATGGGTGTGAGCGACGTGTCGCGGGACGGGTGTGAGCGGTGTCGCGGGACGGGTGTGAGCGACGTGTCGCGGGATGGGTGTGAGTGGTGTCACAGTGGTTCTTGCTTCCCTAATGACAGGCATTTCTCCTGGGCTTATCTGCAATCTGTGGACCTTTGGTGAAATGTCTCTTCCTGTCCATGCTCATTTTCTAATGGGATTATTTTACTGTTAAGTTATGAAACTTCTTTACATATTCCAGATTTTAGCCTATTGTCAGATACGTGGCTTGCAAATATTTTCTGCCTGTCTGTAGCTTAAAAATTATTTTTGTCCTCTTAACAGGGTCTTTTATGGAGCAAATGCTTTTAATTTTAATTAATTACAATTTATCAATTTTTCCTTTTACAGATCATCCTTTTAGTATCAAGTATAATGACTCTGCCTGACCCTGTATCCCAAAGATTTTCTGCTATTTTTCCTGAAAGTTTTTTATTTTTATTTTTATTTTTTTTGAGATGGGCTCTCGCTCTGTTGCCCAGGCTGGAGTGCAGTGGTGCGATCTCAGCCCACTGCAACCTCTGCCTCTCAGCCTCCCGAGTAGCTGGGACTACAGGCATGCACCACCACACCCTGCTAATTTTTTGTATTTTTAGTAGAGACAGGGTTTTGCCATGTTGCCCAGGCTGGTCTCAAACACCTGAGCTCAAGCAATCTGCCCACCTCGGCCTCCCGAAGTGCTGGGATTACAGGTGTGGGCTACCATGCCTGGCCCTGAAAGTTGATTGTCTTATGTTTTACATTGAAGTCCAGGATCTGTTTTGAGTTATTTTTGTGTAGTGTTAGACTTGGGTTGAAGGTTTTTTGTCCACGCAATTGCTTTGGTGCTTTTGTAAAAAAACTCAGCCAGGCATGTTTGTGTGGGTCTGTTTGTGGGTTCTCTGTGTGTTCCATGGATCTGCACGTCTGTCCCTCTGTCAGTACCACACTGTGTTGACTACTGTGGTTCAGTGTCTTCAAACTGCCTAGAGATTCCTTCCACTTCGTTCTCTTTCAAAATGGTTTTAGCTATTTGAGTTCCTTTACATTTCCGTGGAAAACTTGGGATGACTTGTCCTTACCCATTAACACATCTTGCTAGGAGTTTTTTTTTTGTTTTTTTTTTTAAATAGGAATTGCATTAAACCTGTCCATCAATCTGGAAGGAACTGTCATCTCCACTCTGTTGTGCCTTTCAACCCACGAACGTGGCCGTCTCTCTAGGTGTGTGCTGACGTCTTTCAGCAGCATTGCCGAGTTGTCAGCATGTAAGTTCTGCGCATGTTCTGTCAGGTTTATATCTAAGTATTTCACTTTTTGGAGTGGTTGTTAAGTGGTTCTGCATATTTAATTTAGGTGTCTGTGTGTTCATTGCTAGTATACAGGAATACTATTGAATCATTTATATTGATCTTGTGTCTTCTGACTTTGCTGAACTCACTTACTAATTTTCTTCTTTTTTTGAGATGGAGTTTCGCTCTGTCACTTGGGCTGGAGTGCAGTGGCGCGATCTCAGCTCACTGCAACCTCTGCCTCCCAGGTTCAAGCAATTCTCTTGCCTCAGCCTCCCAAGTAGCTGGGATTACAGGCATGTGTCACCACACCCAGCTAATTTGTATTTTTTTTTTTAGTATAGATGGGGTTTCTCCATGTTAGGCTGGTCTCAAACACCTGACCTCAGGTGACTGGCCTGCCTTGGCCTTCCAAAGTGTTGGGATTACAGGTGTGAGCCACTGCGCCCGGCCTCACTTAATTCTGGGCGTGTTTTTGGTGGATGCCTTGGGATTTCCTACAAGGACAACGATGTCATCTGTAAACAGGCACAGTTTCGTGTTTTCCTTTGTGATCTACACGCCTTTTATTTCCTTGTCCTGCTGTATTGCAGTGGCCAGTGCTCCCAGCACCGTGCTGGATCCGATGGTTAGAGCAGACATCCTTTCTTGTTCCAGATCTGAGTGGTGAAGGGTGATTCCTTCCCCCCGACTAGAATGCTGGCTGCAGAGCTTGTGCAGATGCTCTTCATCCAGCTGAGGAAGTTCCTCTCCTTCTCTATTTTCCCAGGTTTAAATCACAAATGGATGTTAAACTTGTCAAGTGCTTCCCCACAGTGACGGATGTGATCATGTGAGTTATCTTCGTTAGCTGGTAACATGTCGATCACACTGGTTGATTCTCAAACGGGGAACCAACCTTCATCCCTGGAACAATCCCTACTTGGTCACAGTGTAGAATTGTTGTATATTGCCAAATTCTATTTAGTAATTTTTTTTTTTTTTTGGAGGCAGAGTCTCGCTGTTGCCCAGGCTGGAGTGCAGTGGCATGATCTCCACTCACTGCAACCTCCACCTCCCGAGTAGCTGGGATTACAGGCATGAACCACCACGCCCAACTAATTTTTGTATTTTTAGCAGAGACGGGGTTTCACCATGTTGGCCAGGCTGGTCTTGAACTCCTGACCTCAGGTGATCTGCTCGCCTCAGCCTCCCAAAGTGTAGGGATTACAGGCGTGAGCCACTGTGCCCAGTCTATTTGGTAATATTTTGTTAAAAACTTTTGTGTCCATATCGCTGAGGGATATTGGCTTGTAATATTATTTTCTCGTATTATCTTTGTGTGGTTTTGGTATCAAAGAACCACTAGCTTCATAAAATAAATTGAGGCTGGGCACAGTGGCTCCCGCTTGTGATCCCAGCACTTTGGGAGGCTGAGGTGGGAGGACTGCTTGAGCCCAGGAGTTTGGGACCAGCCAGGGCAACATGGCAAGACCCTGTCTGCACAAAAACTAAAAAAAGTTAGTGAGGCATGGTGGTGTGGGCCTGTGGTCCCAGCTACCTGGAAGGCTGAGGCAGGAGGATAATTTGAGCTCAGGAGGTCGAGGCTGCAGTGAGCCATGTTTGTGCCACTGCACTTTTAGCCTGGGTGACAGAGTGAGAACCTGTCTCATAAAAAAAAAAAAAAAAAAAAAAAAAAGAAAAGAAAAAATAAAACATAAATTGATGTTTTTCCTTCTTTTCTATTTTCTGGGAAATTAATCTTAGAATTCTCCAGTGAAACCATCTGAGCCTGGATATTTCTTTTTGGAGTTTAAAATTACAAATTCAATTTCTAGTTATAGGACTATTTAAATTATTTCATACCAAGTGAGTTGTGGTAGTTTGTGTTTTTTGAGAAATTGGTCTGTTTCATCCAAGTTGTAAAATTTATGTATGTAGAGATGTTTGTCGTATTCCCTTATTATCCTTTTCAGGATTGCAGGGTCTGTAGTGGTGTCTCTTTTTCATTTTGAGATAGAGTCTCGTGGTATTGTTCAGGCTATAGTGCAGTGGTGCGGTCTCAGCTCAAGCGATTCTCGTGTTTCAGCCTCCCAAGCAGCTGGGACTACAGGTGCCTGCCACCACGCCCAGCTAATTTTTTGTATTTTTAGTAGAGACAAGGTTTCACCATGTTGGCCGGGATGGTCTTGAACTCCTGAGCTCAGGTGATCCACCCGCCTTGGCCTCCCAAAGTGCAGTGATTACAGGCATGAACCCCTGTGCCCGGCCTCTTTTTTTCACCTTTGAAATTGGCAATCATATCTTCTCCTTTTGTCATTCTTACTAGAGGGTTGCTGATTTTATTGGTCTTTTAAAAGAACCATCTCTTTGTTTCAGTAAGTTTCTATATTGTTTTCAATTTCATTTTCTGCTTTTGTTTTCTTACTGCTCCTTGAATTTTTTCCTAGTTATTCATGTAATCTTGCGCTTAGATTATTATTATTATTATTATCATTATTATTTTAAGAGATGGGGTCTTCCTGTGTTGCCTCATGGCAAGAGGCTGGCTTCAACGTCCTGGGTTCCAACAATCTTCCCACCTCAGCCTCCTGAGTAGCTGGAACTACAGGTGCGTGCCATGGCACCCAGCTGAGGTAAGATTATTGTTTTGAGATCTTCCCTCTTTTCTAACCTCTCATGTCTCTTTTTTTATGTATGCATTTGATGCTTTCTTCTCATCACTAGTTTAACTACATCCCAGAAAATGTGACATATTATTCAGTTCAATGAGTGGCATATTCTATAAACATCATTAGGTCCTGTTTGTTGATGATGGTGCTCTTTTATGTTCTTGCTGAATTTCCATCTACTTATTCTATCAACTGTCGAGAGAAGGGTGTTGAAGCATCCAACCGTAATTGTTGATTTGTCTGGCTCTCCTTTCAGTTCTTTTTCTTCTTCACATATTTTGCAGATCTGTGCTTAGTGCACACACTTAGGATTGCTACGTCTGTTTGGTGGGTTGGGCCTTTTCTCATTGGACATCTTTGTCTCTGATAATTTTTGCACTGAGGTCTACTTTGATATTAATACAATGAATCCTTTATTTTCATTAATATTCACGATTTTTTTTCTTTTTTTTTTTTTTTTGTTTGTTTTTTTGAGACGGAATCTCGCTCTGTCCCCTGGGCTGGAGTGCAGTGGCCGGATCTCAGCTCACTGCAAGCTCCGCCTCCCGGGTTTACGCCATTCTCCTGTCTCAGCCTCCCGAGTAACTGGGATTACAGGCGCACACCAACTCACCCGGCTAGTTTTTTTTTGTATTTTTTTAGTAGAAACGGGGTTTCACCATGTTCGCCAGGATGGTCTCAATCTCCTGACCTCGTGATCCACCCGTCTCGGCCTCCCAAAGTGCTGGGATTACAGGCTTGAGCCACCGCGCCCGGCCCTATTCACGATATTTTTTTCTATCCTTTTACTTGCAACCTGCCTATACAGTTGGTCCCTAACTTATGAGAATTCAACTGATGGTTTTTCAGCTTTACAATGGTGCGAGTGATATGCACTCAGTAGAAACCGCACTTTGAGTGCCCAGACAACTATCCTGTTTTCACTTTCATATGGCATTCAATAAATTACATAAGATATTCCACTATTCCACACTTTATTATAAAATAGGCCTGTTAGATGATTTTGCCCACTATAGTCTAATGTAAGTGTTCTGAGCACGTTTAAGGTAGTAGGCTAGGCTAAGCTACGATTAATGTTTGGTAGGTGTACTAAACACATTTTGACTTATATTTTCAACTTATGCTGGATTTATCAGGGCATAAGCTCATTATGCATATATTTAAGTTACTGTTTTCTTTTTTTTTTTTTTTTTTTGAGATAGGGCCTTGTTGTGTTGCCCAGGCTGGAGTGCAGTGGCATGATCTTGGCTCACCGTAGCCTCAGCCTCCCAAGTAGCCGGGATTACAGGCATGCACCACCATGCCTGGCTAATTTTGTATTTTTAGTAGAGAGAGGGTTTTGCCATATTGGCCAGGCTGATTCTGAACTCCTGACTTCAAGTGATACACCTGCCTCCGCTCCTAAAATGCTGACATTACAGGAGTGAGCCACTGCACCTGGCCAATCTTTATCCTTTAATTGGTTTATTTAGACCATTTACATTTAATATAAAGTTCACCATTTTACTTCTTGTCATCTGTTCTGTTTCTGATTTCTTTCTTTTTCCCAACCTGCTTTCCTATGGGTTACGTGTTTTCAGAATCCCATTTTGATTTGTCAAGAGCGTGTTCCAATGTATCTCAGTATAGGTTGATTTTTACTGGCTGTTCTTGGCACGTAACTTATAGTCTACTGATGTCATTTTAGCACTTCAAGTTTAGTATAGAAACCTTACCTCTGTGTCCCTTTGCCCTCATCCATTTATAATTATCTTAAATACTTCCTCTACATAAACTTTGAACTACCTCAGACGGTTTTATAGCCTTTACTTAACCATCAACATGATTGGGAACCCAAGAGAAGGAAGGTCTATTGTGTTTACCCATGTTTTTTCCTTTCCTTTTTTTTTGAGACAGAGTCTTGCTCTGTTGCCCAGGCTGGAGTGCAGTGGTGTGATCTCTGCTCACTGCAACCTCCTCCTCCCAGGTTCAAGCAATTCTTCTGCCTCAGCCTCCTGAGTAGCTGGGATTACAGGCGTGTACCACTATACTCAAATTTTTTATTTTTGTAGAGATGAGGTTTCACCATATTGGCCAGGCTGGCAATGTCTTATTATCTTTAGTTTTTAGAAATTTGACTTTGATGTGTTTAGATTTGAATTTCTTTGGGTTTTTCCTATTTAGGGTTCACTCAGTTTATTGACTCTGTAGGTTTGCCCCTTTTGCCAAAATTGGGAAGTTTTCAGTTCTTATTTCTCCAAGTACATTTTTGGCCCTAAAGCTCTCTCTCTCTTCCTCCTAGGACTTTGATGACATGAATTCTGCATCTTTTGTTACAGTCTCAGTCCCACAGATCCCTGAGGCTCTTGCTGTTTTTTCCCTTCTATGTCCTCTCTCTTGTTCCCATTGGGTACTTTCTATGTTTAAGTTTATTGATTCTTTCCTCTGTCCTTTCCATTCAGATGTTGAGTGTTTTATATCAGTTATTTTTTCACTTCTAATCTTCTCATTTGGTTCTTTAAAAAATCTTCTATTTCTTTGCTGAGGCTGTATTTTTACCAGTTCTGTTCATAATTGCTTACTGAATGCCTTTTCGACGGCTGCATTCACACCTCTGTGAAGTCATTCTAATACCTCTCTTATGTTGGTGCTGTCAACTGTCGACTGCCCTTTTTCACCAGTTCAATGTCTTCCTGGTTCCTGCTACGACAAGTGATTTTTCCACTGAAAACCAAACATTTTGTGTATTAGGAGATTTTGGATCTTATTTAAACCTTCTGCTTTAGATGACTACTTCTGACGTCATGCTGGTAGAGAAGGGGGGTATTGCCTTGCTACAGCCAGGCTGGGGTAGAACTCCGGTGGATACATTGCGGGTATTCCTTGTTGATTGGGGGCATTCCTTGTTGATTGGGGGCATTACTTGTTGACTGGGGTTTTCCTTGTTGCTTCGGGTAGGATGGGAGTCGTGGCTCCGCACTAGGTCTCTATGACACTGTGGCGGGGGTGGCCTAGTCACCGCTGGGTGGTGGTGAAGGTCCTGACTTTCTGCTAGTCAGTATGTAATACCACTCCACAGAGGAGGAACCCCTCCGTACTGCCAGGGGTTGGGGGAGGCCAGGCTCCTCCTGTGGTCTCCACTGACACCACCACAGAAGCAGCGGGGGGAGGGTCCTTCCTACCCACTTAGATGAAAATCTCAGCTTCCTATTTGGCCTCCTCTGATAGCACCCCAGCGAGGGGTGGTTACCCCTTACAGCCGTTTGGAGGAGTCCAGGCTCCCTCCTCCATGCCTTGCCGGTGTGGGTGGGGCCGTGGTTTTTCTGTGGTGTTGGCTGGAGCGGTGATTATTTTCTGTAAATTTCCTGTCTTGCTAGGCTGCTCTTTTCTGGCCCTTTAGCGAGAGAGCAGATTTTTGTTGAGGTGTTTTTTTGTCTGTATCTGCTGGCATTACTGGGTTTCCAGTTTCCTCACCTCCAAGTCTAGAAAATGAGGCAGAAAGAAAGCCCAGGCAAGACGGCCATTTTGGGGCTGTGGCTCCGTCCCGAGGGCCTTGCTGGTGGGCTCTCTTCTCTCACCTTCAGTCTTCCTGTTTTATATATAACGTCCAGCGATCTTGGTCGCCCTTAGTGGGAGGAACAGGGATAAGTGTCTGCTCCATCTTCCAGTTTTAAAGTCGATGACGAACTAAATGCAGGCCCACGGTTAGGCCATGGCCTGTCATGGTACCGCCTGCTCCAGCTGCCAAACGCGTGTATCATGGAGACAGGGGAGAGGTGTGCTGTGTGGCAATGTTCAATATTTCAGATGTTTTGAATGTTTTCCCTAAATGTTAACTCATTACTGGCTCATATAAAATAGTTCCTGCGTTTCACACTTGGTTTTCAGAGTATCCATCCTTTTAGGTACTTTGGGACCCATGGATGGACCTGAAACTGCTCTGACATGATTCCTTGTTTTAGCACCTCCTGGCTGAGAAGCAGACGATCCGACTGTGCGCTCCTCCCTCACGACCTGACGATGGGAAACCTTCCTCCGGGCCAGCTCCAGGGTCCCCAGGCACCGAGGAGGCCGCAATCTGGGGTGGGGGCTGAGGGGCTCTGAAGGCTGCTGAGATGGGGGCAGTAACAGAGAAGACCCATACTGAGCCTGGAAGGACGAGTCCTGGGGCCAGGTCCCCAGTGAGCCAGGAGGTGAACATCTGCCTGTCCAGGCTCCAAGGTCTCGGGCTCCCAGGGCTGCTGGTGGACACATGGCAGGCAAGTTACCTGGGGCTTCACGCTAATTCACAGGAAGGTGGCCTGAGGGCACCAGCTAGGAGGGCAGCCTCCCCACCAGAGGCTCTGGGATGGAGACTCCCCATGAGAAGGGAACCCCATCGCCCCTCTGCCCCAGCTCCCCGTAATACCAGTGCTGGGGAAGCAGCCCTGGAAGCATCGCTTGGCCAGGAGCACCCTGCCCGGGCTGCCAGACTCAGGGCCCAGCTGCTCCACTGCCTCTCTGGACCTCAGCGCCCCCTCCCACCCCTACCCTCCAGCTCCTCTGCTGGGGCCTCCAGACAGCTGTGAGCAACTCCAGAGGGTGCAGCTGTCCCGGCTCCCAAGTGTTCCTGGAGGGAAAATCCAGAGCTATGTTTTCCATCAGAATTGGCGGCTGATGGTGCAGGGGAGGGGTGGGCAGTCCAGACTCTGTTCCTACAACCTCCAGGGGGCTGCTTAGTCCCAACCATGTGGGGCAGGGGATGCAAACGCTTGTGAGAGTCGCCACCCCAGGTCTTGCCACGCGGGCGTCTCCAATCCCCCATGCTCTGCCCCACCCTGGACCCTACCCCACACTGTCCTCAGATCCCCTCCCGTACCCCAGTGGGGCCCCATCCCTGCCTCCTGCTCCTCTTTGGGAGGCCCTAGCTCTCCCCCAAAACCTTGTCTTCTGGTCACAGTGCTCAGGGTCCTTGGCGTCTCCCCTGCACCCCAGCTCCCCTGGTGGAGTCTGGAAAGCCAGCCCCGGTGTGGGGAGGAGGCTGACCTCCCCGATGGCTGCCACCTCTGGCTCCCGAGAATCTCACCCCACAGGGCTCCCTCCTTGGGATGTCACCAAGTCCCTGCCCAGGGTGGGCCAGGCTGCAGGGCCCACAGGAGTCCCCTGCTCAGTTCACCATGGGCCCTGGGGCTCCTGGAGTGAGGGCCCCGCCTGTCCTTCTTGCCTCTCCAGGCCAGGAGCAGAGCAGGCACCCGGAGGACGCCTCAACAAAGGTGTGAACCGCGGCGCCCTGCCTGGCCAGGGACCTTGGCCGTGGCGTCCAGAGTAGCTGTCCTGGCTCCTCTCACCATGGCAGGTTTGGTTTGAGGTGGGCTATGAGGCAGGGGTGGGACCAGCCTTGATGCCAAGGCTGATGGGGGGGGCCCTTTTTGCTCCCAGCAGGCCCCACCTTCTGCCTCTGCAGGAGGGAAGGGGCACTTCCTGTAAACAGGTGGGGTGTGGGTACAGCTGGGTGGGACCCCGGCAGACACCCGGATTTGGGGGAGGCCCCTGAACAGCGGAGAGCGTCTTACCTGGGCGGGGGCCTGCTTGCGAAGGGGTTGTGTGCCAGCAGGGACAGGGCCTCAGCGTCGCTGGCCAGGAGCTTGCCAGCCAGGTGGAGGATCCAGTCATTGTGCTCGTAGGTCTGGGAGGAGAGGTCGGGCTGGAGATGGCTGCGCCACGCGCTGTCCAGGCACAGCCCCTCCAGATGCTCAGCCGTGCCCTCCACTCCCTCCCGCGCCAGCCTCTCTGTCTGTCCAGCAGCATGTGGTCCTGAGGCTTTCCTGGAGGTGGGTTCCCTGGGCGGTCACACCCCAGTTCTTTGGCTGGGGTCCCCTTAAGGGGCCGCCTGCTTCGCATGCTCCTTGTAGCCCTGACCACTCATTCCCAGGCTGGCCGCTGGCCTCACTCCCCTGCCTGGGTGCCTCGGAGCCTGTCTGCCCCAGCTCCCTCTGTCTGGGCCCTGCCTCCCTGAGGCTCAGTTTTCTGGTGGCTGAGATGGGACCAGGAGGACAGAAACAGCAGCTCTGTCCGTGAGTGCCTCTGCTACCCCAGCCCTGAGGATTCCTTCCTTCCTGCTTTTTTTTTTTTTTTTTTTTGAGACGGAGTCTCGCTCTGTCGCCCAGGCTGGAGTGCAGTGGCCAGATCTCCGCTCACTGCGAGCTCCACCTCCCGGGTTCGCGCCATTCTCCTGCCTCAGCCTCCCAAGCAGCTGGGACTACAGGTGCCGCCACCTCACCCGGCTTATTTTTTTGTATTTTTAGTAGAGATGGGGTTTCACTGTGTTAGCCAGGATGGTCTCGATCTCCTGACCTCATGATCCGTCTGTCTCGGCCTCCCAAAGTGCTGGGATTACAGGCTTGAGCCACCGCGCCCGGCCAACAGTTCCCTGACCGGGAACCGAACCTTCCTGTTTTCTGAGACAGGGTCTGGCCCTGTTCCCAGGCTCGAGTGCAATGGCGTCATGATTTGAGGCTGCAGCGATTGGGCTCAATTGATCCTTCCTCCTCCCACGTAGCTGAAACCACAGGCGCTGCCCTCACTTGCTGCTAATTCTGTATTCAGGGTCTCGCTATGGCACCCAGGCTGGGATTCCTGGCATGAGACTCCACCTGGCGGATCCTGGGGGACGCTGGGGCTGGGCCTGGATGTCGTGTGGGCTCAGTTCTCAGCTCAGGCAGGATCCCATCCCCCCAGCCTCCCTCCCCACCAGCCCCTTCGGTGGGTGCTCTAGGAACCTGTCCTCTGAGGGCAGAAGAGGGCGGGGTACAGGCGGGTCCGTGCCCGCCGGGGATTGTCCCCCACCTGGAAGGCGGCGAACCACATAAGCCAGTCCAGGCGGTAGTGGTACGGGGAGATGAGGCAGGGCCGTCTGCTGGGGTCGCCTGGCTTGCACTTGAACTCGTAGTCCTCCCACACGGCGTCGGGGGCGCTGGCGTTGGGGCTGGCCGTGCCCTGCAGGATCACCTCCGTCCGCTCCTTGGTGATGCTGCCGGGAGACCGAGGCAGGCCAGGCCCACATCACACACCGGCTGGGCTGAGTGGGGTGCATGGGGTTCCCCGACTGACCATCCTGGCCCAGGTGGAGGGCCTACACCCCACCTGCCTCCTGGTCAGGGGCTACTGCGAGGCTGGGTGGGGCTGGGGAGTCTCGGGGACTGGCCCCAGGGGCTCATTTGAGAGCACATTCCCTGCCCCTGAAGACCCGGCCACAGCCGGCATGTGCCCCATGCCCCTTGGCAGCTCGGGGTGGACACGAGGGGGAAGAGGCCAGGGGCTGGCCCAGGGCAGGGAGAGCACCTGTGTTCAGGCAGCACTGCCTGGCATTCCCACCCAGGGAGTCAGGGCCTGGTCGCCTTTTCCTTACGCCCCCAGTAGGCATTCCAGGGCCACAGCCCACCTGCCTGGTGACCTCGGGCCCTACCCCTTTGCCTCATGCGACCAGGACGGAGGAGGCCTGCATGTCCAGGCCTGGTAATGGGGACAGCATAGCCTGTGCCTGGGTCATGCTGGGGTGGGGCAGGGGACACTTGGGGTCATGGGGGCCCACACTCCAACCCTGCCTGAATGTGGCTGCTCAGGGCTGAGTCTCCTCACATACCCAGCTCCGTACCCAGCTCCGGGAGACGGGGACCCCAGGCCCATACCTTCCGAAGGCCCCGTAAGTGTTGACAATGTGAAGAGAGTTGAAATGGGTGTTCATGACCTGTCTGGAGCTCAGCAAGTTGAGGACCACGGGCACGCTGAGCCAGGCCAGCAGGATGCCCAGCGAGACGTTGGCTGCACGCCGCACCACAGAGCCTGGCAGGGGAGTGAGATCTTCCAGGTGGGGCTCCCAGCCGCCCCCTGGCCTGTCCCGGGGAGACTCCAGCTGGTGCTCACTAAGGGTCAGCTGTCCAGGGTCCCGGGGATGGAGCAGCAGCTGACGTCAAGCACCTTGTTCCCGGCGTGCTACACAGTGGACGACACTGACCCACCTCCTGCCCTGGCACCCCCAACCCACAGGGGCAGGCTGTAGGGCTGGCACCACCCAGCTTTCTCATGCCCGTGGGCACTGGGGCAGGGCCCCCCGGCTGAGCCACCTACCGAATCTGGGCTTGGGCCGGGCGCCTCGGATTTCCCTCTGCATCTGCAGGACTCGGTCCTTCAGGCTGCCTGGCCCGGAGGGGAACAAGAACCCCAGGGTGGCGTCATCGAAGCAGGCCAGGCTGGGCACCATGGTCAGCCAGTTGAGGAAGCTGAGGTTCCCGCTGACGATGAGGATGGCCTGTGGAGACGCTGCAGCTGAGCCTCGTGCAGGGCCCCTGGGCGGCTGGATCCTCCCTTCTTGGAGCAGGGGGGCCCTGCACCCAGCTTTGCCCTTGCCATCCCCCAGCCCTGGCATCACAACTGAAACCCGGCTGTGCCTTCATGGAGGGGACAGCAGACGCCTCAGAGGTGCCTTCTGACAGATGCTTCCAGAACGTTCCTCCCATGACTGCACATTTCTGTGCAGGTTCTGTCCCTTGCTTTAGTGATGCGCAAGGTCTGGGGCTGGACCAGACCCTGTGCCCTCCTGGAACTCCTCACCTGCAAAGGGTGCCTGCCGGGGTTACGCCCAGGGAGGGTTGGCGTGTCCACACAGAGAAGGCTGTGCTTGGAGAGTGGGTGCCGGGGACGCCCCTCAGCCGACAGGTGCCACGGACAACAGGGAGCATGGGGGGCCACCAGTAACGCTCCCAGTTCAAAATACGAAGTGCAAGGAAGCGAGACACAGGCCCAGGCCCCTGTGCCCCAGAGAGGGACAGCAGGAGAGGGGAGGGGCTGCATGCAGGGCTGGCCGGGCAGCACGGCCGGGAGGGCTCCGGGGAACGGTTCAGCAGCAGCAGTGGGCAAAGCCGCGGCAGGAGGGACTCGGAGGGCTGCTTCTGGACACCCTGCAGGCCAGTGATCGTTAGGTGACGAAACTGGAGATTGAGCCGCTGTCCCTGCAGCTCCATCAGGTGATGTCACAGGTGCCAAACCTCACCCTGGCCGTTGCCGCGGAGGCGTCAGGGAGACGGCGGCGGCTTGCGTGGCCGGTTGCCCCACGTGGGTAATGGTCTGCGGCTGAGCCGGTGGACCCTGGGCGGGCAGGACCCGGGCGTGGCTCCCTCAGACGGGTCTGTCGGCCAGATTTGATGCACTAAAGCCCAGGCTTTGTCCCCATAACTCAGGAGGAGGGCTGAGGGCATGGACCCCGATGTCTAATAAGGGTCTCGCAGGGGCAGCTGCATCAGTTTTATAGATGATGACAGCGTTTTATGAACTGTGCATTCACGGCTCTCCCTGGGTTAATTTGGAAAAATACCTTTCCTGGTTCTGAGCCCCAAATGAACACTTTCTTATTCTCCACTGTCTACAATGTTACTAACCCCCTGTGCTAAAACCAGCCCCGCCTTGCCGTGCCTGGGGTTAGCCACCTCTGCCAGCAGCTTCCCTGGCGGGCCAGACCCCCATGCCCTCTGTCCTGAGTGTGACCAGGGCTGGTCGGGGGCGGGGCAGGGCGGCTGGGAGCCCCTGAGCTCCCGTGACAGGGAGGGTGCAGGGCTGGGCACTGAGGTCTGGCCTTTGGACCCACTCTTTGGGGTGCTCTGGAGGGGGCGCCCCAGGTGACACTGGAATGTCCTGCCATCCATTCCTGGTGGGAGAAGCTCCAGCCTTTCTGGCCCTTCCCTGGGCCCAGCCTGACTGGCAGATGGGACCAAAGCGACCTGTGGTCATCCTGATGGGAGCTCAGTGGGGAGCTCTAGACTCAGGGAACTAGGGCTCCATGGAGCACAGATCTGGGTGTGAAATCCCGTTTCTAAGAAAGCTTCAGGGCTCGGGGCCTCGGGGCCCTGCTCCGTGCGGAGGCGACCCCGCCGCGCAGCGTTCAGCTGCTCTGCTGCATCTCTCGCCCTCCATCTGGTCGGCTGTTTTGTTATGAAAACGCAGTTCCGTGTAGAGTGCACGGCCTGAGTGCTCCTGGGGGACCTAGTCTTCCTTGTTTTTCTTCTAGCGTCACTGAGCCATCTCCTCAGAGGGAAATCAATCTGCTCAGAGCCCATCTGTGCTCGCCCCCGGCCGGCAGAGTCCTCACACGGCCGTGCAGCCCACAGATGACCCAGCCGGTGGCTGGGAGCAGGGGCGGGGCCAGAGGGGTCCCCACGGCCGGCACAGGAAGAGGAGCTTGAGGTGATGGAATCCTGGGGCCAAGAGACGGAGCAGCAGGGGTTCCGAGGCCAGTGGCGCGTGGCCCCAAGAAGGAAGAGCGGGGTTGGGGTCTCTGGATGCCTCTGGGGCCTCCCGCCTGCCGGCTGCCACAGGGAACAGGTGCGCTTGTGAGGACCCTCTGCTGAGGACACGCCGGCGCTCACGGGGACCCTCCGCGGACGACAAGCCTGCTCGCAGGGAGCTCACGGGGACCCTCCGCTGAGGAAATGTGTTGTGTTCCCAGGTGGGCACTCTGGTGGGCACGAACCCAGTGTGAACTTTGCATTATCTGTGTTGTTTCATCACAACCACACACAGCTCGGGGCCCGTGAGCCCAGCTCCCTCCGGGACAGCCTCGGGATAGCCGGCCTGCGCACGGGGCTGACAGGGCCTCCGGGCCTCTGTCTTGAGGGGGCGTGAGGTGCAGCCACCACAGGGCAAGGAGCCCTTTGGGCGGAGTGGGTGGGGTGGGGCCGGACAGCCCCCTGTGAGCAGGCGACTCAGAGGCTCCAGACCTGAGCTCACCCCCTGCCCCTCCCACCCTGGCGGCCCCAGGTGTGTCTCCCTGTCCCCAGTGCCCTGGTGGAGGCTGATGGCTCCCGTGGGTGCTGGCTGGGTGGCCGGGCTCTGCGGTCACTGCTCACGTGCACCTCTCCAGGCAGCAGTGGCCCCAGGGCCCCGTGGAACTCTCCGGAACAGCTGTGTAAACTGCGCGTAGGAGGAGGGAGGCTGCTCATGCCTCAGCTCCCCAACGGAAGGAACACGGGAACACACGGACCCAGGACGCGCTCCAGGGAGGCAACGCTCAGAGGCGGCCCTGGGTCTCGGGGCACTTGGCGGCCACAGGTGAGGGCGTGGCCCCGGCCAGGGCACTACAATGGTAGAGGGCGCGGGTCACTCTCAGTCCCACACCGCATCATCCCCCACACACCCTCTGCCCTGTACGCCTGTGGGGGCAAAAGCCCTAGCTGAAGACCCCACACTGCCTGCGGACGGGACAAGTGGCCAACCGTCCTCTCCTCTGAGGGGGACGCCAGGCCACGCTGCAGAGCACAGCCACCACCCCGGCTGCTTCCACCTCATCCTGGACATGGTGTGGGGCTGGAGAGGATGACACGGCCTGACCTCTGAGGCCTGGACGGGAGGCGCTGCCTGTGCTGGGTCTTTGGGGGTGGTGCTCAGAGGCCCAGGTGCAATGAGACCCAGCTCTGTCCCCTCCCCTCCCAGCATCCCTACTGTCCACTGCCACTCCCCCCACCAGGCAGCGGACTCCAGAACTGGGCCAGCACTGGCACTGAGGGAACCCGCAGCCCCGCCGTCATGCCTGGGAGGGTCCCTGTCTGCCTGCACCAGGGCCTGTTAGTCCAATTCTCATCCGACCCCCGGCCAGGTTCCTGCGTTCTGAATAAACAAGGATGTTTTTGAGGCCTCTGGTTCAAAGGTCACCTCCCCCATTCCATGTCATGGTAACTCAACCCTCAAGTGACTCCAACTTTCTTGATTAAGTAACTTAGCACCTTGCTTTTCATGAGAGCTTCTCCAAGGCAGGATCAGCTTATTTGGAGAGGGGCAGTGGTGGAACTGGCCACCACAGCCTGAGGGAGGGACGCTACATGGTACACGGGCCGTGGAAGAGGGAGGTGGGATCCTGAGCACCCCCCACTGCCAGGCAACCACGGAGCCAAGCAGGCCCACACTCCGACCTGGCCGTAGTCCAGGGGTGCCCTTGGACTGGCTTCCGAACCAGACCTGAGCCTGGCAGGGGCAGGCGGGAGCCTGGGGCAGCGCAGCCCACACGGGGGGTGCTGGGGAGTGGGGGGCATTCCTGGCAGTCTTCAGCCCGGCCCTCCTCCAGCGGCTGGGACCCCAGGACCACATGGCTGAAGACGGCTCAGGAGTCGCCCGTGTGCGGCCCCACCCAGGTTAGGAATCCTGGAACAGACCACTCCATTCAGGCTGGACACCCCTCCCTGGGTGGCAGTGGGACCCAGGCCTGGCACAGTCAGCCCTGGCCCCACGCCTGTGCTCAGCACAACCTTCCTCATGCCCCGTGTGGGAAGCACATGTGCCCGGGGCTCCGTCTGTGGCCCTTCCGAGGCTGAGTGGAGAAATAAACCGGGGCGCGTGCGGACCACGGGGGTCTCAGTGCCGAAGAGAAACGGGCAGTGGAGGCTCCAGGAGGCGCGGGGAGCCCCCCGTGCAGATGCGGAGGGAAGGGAGCCAGTCTGTGGAGGCCGCACGATGCTTCCCACTCCACAATGTCCGGCAGAGGCAGCACCGTGGAGACGGAGGGCCGGCGGGGCACAGACGACTTCCAGGGCCACGAGCGACTGCGTGAAGCTGCGACGGGGACACGCGTTGTCGTCCATCGTCCGTTTGTCGGAGCTCACAGAATGAGCAACACTGCACATGACTCTCCTGTCAGCTGGGGACTCTAGTTGGCAACAATTTATCAGTCCTGCCTATCAATTATACAATGTCCCGGCCAGTGCAAGGTGCTGAGCGCAGGGAAACTGTTTGAGATGGGGATAAGGGAGCCTCTGTAGTCTGCACAGTTTTTCTGAAAACCTAAAACTGTTCTAAAATAAGTCTCTTAATTAATAAAACAGAGCTGAAACCCCGGAGGAACGGACGCAGGTGGCTTGGGGGGGGGCAGAGGTGGGCTGAGGACCTCAGGAGGTCATGGTGGCAAAGATGCTGCCCAAACTGAGACCTCCAGTAAGTTAACCCGGCTGATAACCACTGAGGAAACGGAGGGAAAATAACAGGAAAAAATGCGGAAGATACTAAGAACAAAGAGAAAAACACAAAGATGTGGCAATACGTCCAAGTACGTCAGTTGAGATGTATGGCCCTTAACAGAGACAGAGGGCCAGGCTGACCCTGAGCATGACCTTGCTCCCGCTGTCTCAGGAGCTGTATCGGTGAGGACACAGGCCTTGAGGCCGGGCGCGCACCTGCAGCCATGGCACTTTAGGAGGTCAGGCAAGAAGAGTACTCGAGCCCTGGAGTTCAAAACCAGACTGGGCAACATAGTGAGACCCCCGTCTCTACAAAAAATTAAAAATGGCTGGGCGTGGTGGCACCTGTAGTCCTGGCTACTCGAGAGGCTATAAAACTAACATAATATGATGACTTTTTTTTTGCCAAGATTTGAAAACAGATGAAATGAACAAATTCCCAGGAAAACGTTCACCACAAAAACTGCCTCAAGAAGGAGTCGAAAGCCCACCTGTCCTGTGGCCCCCAAGGGTGATCAGTCAGAGACCCCGGCGGCACAGGCGGCCTCACACGGGAGCACTGCCAGGTGTGAGGATGGCCACCTTTGCTTTCCAGACACCCGCAGAGGAAGAGGCTCAGCTGTGCTGGGAATGTGAACTTGCTTCAGCACCTGCAGCATGAACGTAACCTGCCACGTTACGGATGGAAGAACGAGCATCTCACGACTGATGGAGAAACACTTTCTACAACTCAGCATCCATTCATGGCTAAAAACCACAAAGGAGAAGTGAATAAAAGCAGCCACGAAAACAACCCACAGCTGGCATCGTGACAGACAGTGTGCAGGGCGGGGGCCCTCCCTGCTGTGGGACCCTAGACCCAGACGGCACTCAACCCCGCCCAGCAGGGGAGAAAGGGATGGACGCAGAACCGGCAGAATCCCCAGATCGCCCACAGGACACGTCTGTGAGGGACCCGCGAACGGACAGGGTAGCACCAGTGCAGAGGTCGCCCGAGAAAGGCTGAGGTCACCAGAGTCCCACACTTAGCAACCAAGAGGAGGAAGTGTGAGTTAAAAGGGCACCATTTGCAATATCAACAAAAGAAGTCACCTGGGTGCTGCTGCCCCGTGAGGGGCACGGCCACATGGAATTGACTGACGCTACCCCAGGAGCCCGCAGACACGTGAGGGGCACGGCCACACGGAATCCACTGACGCTACTCCAGGGGCCCGCAGACACGCGAGGGGCACGGCCACACAGAATCCACTGACGCTACTCCAGGAGCCCGCAGACGCGCGAGGGGCACGGCCACACAGAATCGACTGACGCTACCCCAGGAGTCCGCAGACACGCGAGGGGCACGGCTACACAGAATTGACTGAAACTACTCCAGGAGTCCGCAGACACGCGAGGGGTACGGCCACATGGAATCGACTGAAGCTATTCCAGGAGCCTGCAGACATGCGTGGCATATGGCTATTCCAGGAGCCCGCAGACATGTGTGGGGTACGGCTACATGGAACCAACTGAAACTATTCCAGGAGCCCTGAGCAGCTGCAGAGAGAAACGTGCGGTCCTGGACAGGGCATGATCTGTGAGCAAGTCTGTTCTTCCCACTTAGATTCACAGTGACATCGATGCCCGCCAGAGAAATCACCCCCCGGGTACCGGCACCTGCCTCCGAGCAGCTAACGTGGAAAAGACTGAGGGCGTCAGGAGCTGCTCAGGGCCCCTGCGACCACAGCCAGGGTCCTTGCTGCGGGGAGGGGCCAAGAGCGGCACAGCCACCCTGGGACACGTGCAGCTTCCTGTAAAGTGAATCACAGGTCTGCTCACGGTACAGCAGAGCCCTTGAAAACACGTCCACGGGATGACGAGATCGCGTGTGTGCACGGCAGGCTGTGATGAAAACCGGAAACCACCACAAGTGCACAGACAGGACAGACGGACTGACCACAGGACGCACACCATGAAACGGGGCCCGGCCAACAACCGTGGGTGCCCCCACGTGCACCAACGTGACGTAGCACCCGCGCCTGCTGACGGAGCTTTGCCCCTAGAGGCTGTGGTGCTCTGGCAGGGGTGGGCAGGGCAGGGGAAGGGCGGGCAGGGACATGGGGCAGGGCGGGAGAAGGGGCATGGGGCAGGGCGGGAGAAGGGGCATGGGGCAGGGCGGGAGAAGGGGCATGGGGCACCCAGGTCCATCTGTTTTCCAGGGCACGTGGAATGCCACCCCAGGACCTGTGCATTGCCCTGGATGTATGTTACACCTCCATCGAAACAATCGAGAGACAGAACCACCTTTAAAATCCCCACCACGTTTTCCTTGGGAATTGACAATCGGAATGTAGCGTTTATAGGGAAAAGCAAACGCCCGAGACTGGCCCAGCCCGGCCGGAGGCGGCATGGGGGTGCCCTGCCCTTCGAGGCGTCCTCAATGCAGGGGGCTTGTGGGGCAGGGATGGCAGTGAGCGTGGGCAGGACGGGGGTTCAGGGGTGCCTGGGTTCCGGGGGCAGGGGAGGCAGTCCCTCACCCACATGGAGACAAATGACCCTCGCCTCTCGCAGACCCTGGTTCCTGGTGGACTGACACAAACACGGGAAAGGAAACCTCTAGAATGGAAGAATCGTAGGAGAGGATCCCAGGAATGTGGGGGTGTCCACACAGGGCCTTGGCGTGCCTGACCCCGTCCCGCTGCCGAGCCCAGGACACGGCTGGGCCTCTCGCAGCTGCAGGAAATGCTCTTGGGAGGAGCCAGTCCTCGGAGGACGCCTGGGAAGGAGACCCTCAGCCTCCAGCCCGGGACAGGGCCGCAGTGGGGCCCCTGCAGGGGATGAGAAGGAGCTGGTGAGGCCCTGACACCAACAATGGCTGGGGAGGACAGGCTGTCCCCAAGAAAGGGGGCCTGTAATGCCCCAGGGGCCTCCCAGACAGCAGGGCAGCCAGAAATAGGGCGACGGACCAGCGTCTGTGGACACGGGGGCCGGCGGGCGGCGCGGGCTCACCTGGAACAGGATCTGCAGCGCCCCGTGGATGATGCAGGCCCGCCGGCCGAGGAAGAGGAAGAAGGGCACCAGGAGCTCAATGAAGTGGTTGCTGAGTGTCTCGAAGCGGTGGAACCACCAGGGTGAGTGGTGTAGGTAGTATGCCACAGGGTTGGGCACCGGCTGGGTCTGCAGGGACAGGAGGGGCTGTGAGGTGCCTGGCCGATCTCAGGGGGTGGGGCTAGGGATAGGCATGTGGGTCCCCGGCCCCCTGACCCTGACCCCAACCCCTACTGCACACAGGATCCCCCCGGCTCACCTGACCCTGCACACGCGGAGCCCACCTGCCAGCCTAAGAGCCAAGGGACACTGAGGGGGAAGCGAGTTTTTAAAGCAAAAGCAAAGTGTTTATATTTGTCTTAAAATCTTTACCATCTAAAAGCCAAGAATACACACCCTAACTGAAGAATACACACCCTAACTGAAGAATACACACCCTAACTGAAGAATACACACCCTAACTGAAGAATACACACCCTAACTGAAGAATACATACCCTAACTGAAGAATACACACCCTAACTGAAGAATACACACCCTAACTGAAGGAGACAACACCTGGAACCGTCCGTGCCGAACGCGAGAACACAGGCGGTCGGAGAACGCGCTGCCCGCTGCCCACACCACCCCCAAGAGCTGGGGTCCGCAGGTGGCCCCTCAGGCTCAGGATGCCCTCTCCCTGGGGATGGGCATGTGGGTGGGGATGTGCCGGTTGGGGACCAGCAGGAATGGGGGCCTGGGCCCCGAGCCCAGCTCAAGGCTCTAAGCGCAAAACCTGGCTGTGGGGACCTTGAAGCCTCCCAGGCCAAGCCACAGAGGAGTCCGCACACCTGGGTCCCACTCGGCAGCCCTGTCAGGAGGAAGGGCAGGAACTTGCTCTGCACCATAACTGAAAACTATCAAGGCCAGGCCTGTGATCCCAGCACTTTGGGAGGCCAAGGCAGGCAGGTCACTTAAGCCCAGGAGTTTGAGGCCAGCCTGACAACATATCAAGGCCCCATTTCTATAAAAATAAAAAATTAGCTGGGCATGGTGGTGCATGCCCGTAGCCTCAGCCACCTGGGAGGCTGAGGCAGAAGGATCGCTAGAACCCAGGAGGTGGAGGCTGCCGTGAGCCATGACTGTGCCACGGCACTCAGCCTAGGTGACAGAACAAGACCTTGTATCAATCGATCCATCAATCAAATCAGAGCGGTTGTGCAGACTTGTCTGGAGTGAGAACGCCAGACTGGCAAACGGGGCCCAGGCCCCACACGCTGTTTCCTGGAAACCCCCGACGATGGGACCCGGAGTGGCACTGCCAGGGCCATGTGAGTCGGTGAGCCCAGGGTGGTGGTGGGAAAAGTACCCGTGATGGACGATGCTGCACGCTCTGCCTGGCTTTGCAGAGGGGCCTGCCCGCATGCTGCTCAGGGCTGAAGGCCTTGCTAGCACAACCCGCGGGAGCCATGGGGTCCGGCACAGCCACAGAAGCCCCACTGGGGACAACAATCACAAGCCCTGCAGAGACGGAGGCAGCCCCCAGACGCTTCAGAGTCCGCACCCTGGTCCTGGGACTCCCGGGGTCCAGAGAGGCTGCGTGGAGGTCGGGGCCCTCGGGTGGCAGAAAGCGCACGTAGGGGCCGTGCTGGGCACTCGCTCCGGGGCGGGGGTGTGGGATGTGCAGGAGGCGGCCATGTGCACACCCGAGAGCAGCACTCGCTCCGGGGTGGGGGTGTGGGATGTGCAGGAGGCAGCCACGTGCACACCCGAGTGGGGGTGTGGGATGTGCAGGAGGCAGCCACGTGCACACCCGAGAGGGGGCGTCTGGGCACAGGGCCCCAGTACCCAAGAGCCGTGGGCTGGGGAGGGTCCTGAGGCCTCTGCTCATTTGCTTACAGGGCAAAGAGTTATTTTTGTTTACACTGAGGCTGGGAGAAAACATCATGACCTGAAACTCGGCTGTGAGCCATGAGGTGGGTGTGGCAGTGTCACACTGCACGGCAAGGCCAGGAGCTCCCGTGCGGCCGGGACACTCAGCGCGCGGCCAGGGGAATGGTGGGTCAGGGCATGTCGGGACTGCTGGCCCAGACCTTAGGAAACAGTCCGCAAACTTCTCCTAAAAGACAATTTTAAATAAGAAAAACATGAGGAAAGTGTGAAGGGGATGACACCTGTTTAGGGACTTAGAAGGCAGCAGATCTTGGGGGAGAAGGAGTGTTGTCTGTTGGGACCCACCCCCCAGTGCCCACAGTGAAAAGCCAGAGAAGAACCAGAACGCCTGGGCTGCCACTTCCCTTGTAGGCTGCTGCTCACTGTGTGTTTGGGGTTGTGGCGAGACCCACGCAGGAGGCGGCAGGCTTGGCCAGGTGCTGGGAACAAGCATCTCCAGGGCTAGGCCCACACCCGAAGTCCCAGCTCTCGGTCTGGCTTCTGGGTTGGGGGACTTGAACCTCTCCTTCCCTCCTGCACGCTGGGGCTGCTGACGTGTGGGAGGGGAGAGGAGGCTGCTTATGCTTATCAGGTGAGGGTCTCGGGATGAAGAAGGCAGGTCCCATGTGTTCCAGGAACAAGCCAATCACGAAGGTCCCTGTGGGAAGCGGCCCTTGGATGTTGCGTCCCAAAGTGGTGACTGCCACTGGCTGAGAACCTCACCTGGGAAGGGGCCACGGCAGGCGCACAGTGTGATGCCTTTGTGGACATGCAACCCCCCTTCCCATCACGGCAATTGCAGATGGAGGAAAACGACAGTGAGTGGCAAAGACGGTGACAAATGTGACAGAAACGGGGCTGATGTGACCCAACGCTGTGTTAAAACAAGAAAAGCCTCAGGCCCAGCTGTGGTGGCTGCTGCCCCCGCCGAGCGGGGTTTGCCTCCCCAGCTGACCTTGGCCCCCCCTGAGAGGGGTTCGCCTCCCCAGCTGACCTTGGCCCCCCCTGAGCGGGGTTCGCCTCCCCAGCTGACCTTGGCCCCCCTGAGTGGGGTTTGCCTCCCCAGCTAACCTTGGCCCCCCCTGAGCGGGGTTCGCCTCCCCAGCTGAACTTGGGGCTCAGCTTTGGCCAAGAGAATGCAGTGAGTGATGTTCTGAACTCTCAAGCTCAGTCCTTGAAGAGGCAGATCCAGCCCCATGAAAGATCCCTCTACTCTGAGGCCACCAAGCTGTGAGGAAGCCCATGGTGGCCATGTGGCAAGGCCATGAGGAGACACACTAAGTTCCAGAACAAGTGAAGCCTCCCTGGACCTCTCAGCCTGGCTATCAGCTCGTGAATGACCCCACCTGATACCACGTGCAGCAGAAGAGCCGCCCGGCAGAGCCCATCACAGGACCAGGGGAGAGAGGAGCCGCCCGGCAGAGCCCATCGCAGGACCAGGGGAGAGAGGAGCCGCCCGGCGGAGCCCATCGCAGGACCAGGGGAGAGAGGAGCCGCCCGGCGGAGCCCATCGCAGGACCAGGGGAGAGAGGAGCCGCCCGGCGGAGCCCATCGCAGGACCAGGGGAGAGAGGAGCCGCCCGGCGGAGCCCATCGCAGGACCAGGGGAGAGAGGAGCCGCCCGGCGGAGCCCATCGCAGGACCAGGGGAGAGAGGAGCCGCCCGGTGGAGCCCATCGCAGGACCAGGGGAGAGAGGAGCCGCCCGGCGGAGTCCATCGCAGGACCAGGGGAGAGAGGAGCCGCCCGGCGGAGTCCATCACAGGACCAGGAGAAAGATGCTGCTGCTCTAAGCCACTGAGGCTTGGGGTGTGTTGTGCGATAGCAGATCTCTGAAACAGCCTGAATCCAGAAGCCAAAGAGTGTGGAACTCTGATGTTAGTGGGAAAAGCCCATTTTAGAGAAACCAAAGTAAAAGTTTTTCTGAGTCTTTGGGTAACAGATACTTAGTACTGACTCACACACCCTCCACCCCAGACACGGCTCAGCACTCACAGCTGTGTAAGCCTCCTCACATCCTGGAGAGGTACAGAAACAATATTTGAAGAAACACTGGCCAAATATTTTCTGAATGTAATGACAATGATAGACCTATAGATTCAAGCAACTCAACGAACTCCAAGCACAAAAAACATGAGGAAAATGACACCAACTAACCAAATGGCCACATTTTACTGCATGACAGTATGACACTATCGATCACTTTGATTGTAGTTTGATTGACAAGTAATCAAATTGTCACAAACTGCCTATGTTAATTAGATCATATTGGTTGGTAGTGTTTTTCAACTCTTCTATATCCTTATTTTGTATCTACCTGCTTTATGTGTTATTGAAATCTCCAACTTTATGAATTTGTCTACGTCTGCTTACAGTTCTATCCATTTTTGCTTCATGTCTTTTGACGCTCTATTACCAGGTGCATAGATGTTTGAGAGTCTCCTGACCTCCTGATGAACACTGTGAAATAGCCTCTTTACTCCTGATCACATTCTTTGCTCTGAATTCTGCTTTGTATGCTGTGAAGGTGGCCAGTCCAGCCTTCTTGTCACTTGTGTTTGTATGGTATGTTTTTCCACCCCTTACCTTTCGGCCTGTGTGTGTCTTCGTATTTGAAGCGTATCTCTTAGAGTAGTGTTACAAACTACACATCATAATCGAATATTGCTCAAAACTTGTGAGAAAAAATCTTACATGCAAATAGAGAAAGATGTTACAGAGTATGTAGATAAGGAGTTGTCATAGGAAATAATGCAAATGAGACGAGAGTAGAGTACAATCTTTAAAGTACTAAACCTGTCAACCTAGAATTCTATACCCAACAACAATCTCTTTCAAAAATGAAGGTGAAATAAAGACTTTGTTAGACGTTGACAAGCTGAAAGAACTTGTCACCAGCAAACCTATGCTAGAAGAAATGTCAAGTCTGTTAGGTGGAAGGAGAATGATCACAGATGGAAACCTGGGTCTCCACGCAGGAGTGAAGAGTCTGGAAATGGTAACATGAGGTGGAAGGAGAATGATCACAGATGGAAACCTGGGTCTCCACGCAGGAGTGAAGAGTCTGGAAATGGTAACATGAGGTGGAAGGAGAATGATCACAGATGGAAACCTGGGTCTCCACGCAGGAGTGAAGAGTCTGGAAATGGTAACATGAGGTGGAAGGAGAATGATCACAGATGGAAACCTGGGTCTCCACGCAGGAGTGAGGAGTCTAGAAAT